GAAAAAGTAAAGGTACACATGTTGTTTTACAGGTGTTTGAGGATGTTTATGAGTTGACCACCGCACAATAAGTAGAAAATCAATGAACATAACACCTCGAACATCCTCAAATCCATCTCCTGGAAACTCCTCCCCCATCTCCCTCTCCCTCTCTCTCTCTCTGCGCTGTCCACCAAGCCACACAACCAAAATTAAGGCATCTACGATCATCTATGTAGGCATCTATGTCTATGTGTGTCTATGAGACAACCAAGTAAACCCCGCATATCCCCGGCCACCTCCCGCCCGCCCCACCCCGGCCACCCTCGCTCGCTCGCCTGGGATCCGGCATCCCCGTGTTCCGATCCTCCCGCTGGAGCGACCATCCTTTCAGGATCCGAGACCTCGGAGAGACCGGAATCCGAGGGACCGGGTGGACAACTGGGGGACGCGTCCGTTTGGGGCGCAACTGCGATTTAGCTGGACTTGTTTGGCGCATATCCTTGTATGGGAAGTCGTACATACATGGTGGCTGGTTGAGCTATATACAATACTGATCTTCAGTCTGTGATAGGCTCTATATCAAGTAGCCTCCTTTAAAGCATATCAGCCAGTGTTGGCCACTCTCAGTCTGGAATGAATATACAACTTCTACCGACAGATCAGCCTTGTCTTGTGGAACTCAGCTTACCCATGGACAAACATGCTACAAAAATGCTACGAGTCGGCTGTCTAGGACATGACCCAGTCACTCCAAACAGCAAAGTGGCCCCACCTAGGCAAGTAGCGGTCCACGGAAAACTTAAACCCCAAAGCAAAACCCACCCTGCCCTATCCCAGTCGAGTGGCTCCAGCTCTCCTGAGATCTGACTCACCTGAGGTTGTGCCAAAGGACAAATTGATCTAAAGTCACAGCCTGGTGGGGCCCAGTTTGTACTGAGTGCAGCAGTTGTAAGCTGTCCTGCTGGTCGCTTGGGTGTGGTCTCACAGCTAGTGGCTTGTCGGCCAAGTGTGGCAGGCACAAGGATAAATTGAAGTCGTAGGTGTCAGTCCCACCTAGGATCCCCCCTTGCATCTGAACCAGCCCATCAGCCAAGGCATCTGAGGTGCGGTCTTCAAGCATTTTTGTGCTTCCAAGGGTGGCAGCACATCCAAATCCACATTGCCCTCTTCGAGGCGCATGGCAATGACATGCAGTCGGTTGCACAAGGACTGATAGTTCCTGGGCAATGACATGGGTTCCTGTTCGTGACACCAATCCGATGCGTTTTCACTGCACCACATGTCGATTTGCAGTGTGTGTGTGTGTGTGTCAACCCCTGGGCAAAGGGTTCTCCACCGCCACCTCTTTCACGGTTTTATAACCAACTCTTGTTCGCAGGGGGCACCTGGAGCAGAGATAGGGCAGGTGCCAACGAAGACACCTATCTCTTGCTCGTGATATCGACGGGAGACGTCCTGTCGACGTACCTGCGACTAACGTTTGCACAAGCTGTGACTCCACTGTTCTCGGTTTGATTCATGGTTCCTTCACGATACCTCCCCCTCAAACCGGTTTCCCACAGCTGCTTTCAACCGACCGCGCGAGAGTTTGCCACTGCAGTCACGCACAAACAACTTGTTCAACAATTCAGTTGCGCTGACCCTTTCACCTTGCGTTTCCCTCATTCCTTTGGACCTGGGAACTGAGTTAACTGAATACAAGTGTCAGAGTGTGTTTCGCTCAGCCGTCCCACTCGGGTGCTGAGTGTGATCCCCGTCATTGGGGCGCTGTCTCATCGTGCAAGCACTAACTGACCTCACCACTTTTCACAGGAATTCCACCGGAAGTCACCGACACAACCACTGAATTAACTGCCACAAAGGCTGCCGAGCCTCACCACGGGAACTGACAGTTTTGCAACACTTGCTTTTTTGAGATGTTCGACGGCTAAGTATTCACATGTGCATGTGCGGCTAAGTATTCACAGGCTGGATGAATTAATCATGCATTCCCCCTCCCTACCCCTGGGCCTCCGTTGCTACCCCACCCGCTACTCGGGAAACAGAAGGAAATCGCACTCAACACACTTGTGTGTTGGTGCCTTTCCTTCTGTTTCTCCAAGCCTATTGCTAGCTACCCGGGCGGTTTAAGACAAATGTCCCGCTCGCGATCTACTTTCGTTTAACTAAGTGGGCCTCGTAACTTCCCCTATCTTTCTTTCTTGCCCTCTTAGTCTGCTTTTGTTTTGTTTGCTTTGTCTGTCTTTCTAAGGCTTTTTAGGTGGCTATTAGTCTGTTCGCAGCGCCAATTTTGGCGCTTTCTGTACAAAGTTCCACCTTCACACTTGCGCCGGAATCGGCTGTTTGTGTGTGTCAACCCCTGGGCAAAGGGTTCTCCACCGCCACCTCTTTCACGGTTTTATAACCAACTCTTGTTCGCAGGGGGCACCTGGAGCAAAGATAGGGCAGGTGCCAACGAAGACACCTATCTCTTGCTCGTGATATCGACGGGAGACGTCCTGTCGACGTACCTGCGACTAACGTTTGCACAAGCTGTGACTCCACTGTTCTCGGTTTGATTCATGGTTCCTTCACGATACCTCCCCCTCAAACCGGTTTCCCACAGCTGCTTTCAACCGACCGCGCGAGAGTTTGCCACTGCAGTCACGCACAAACAACTTGTTCAACAATTCAGTTGCGCTGACCCTTTCACCTTGCGTTTCCCTCATTCGTTTGGACCTGGGAACTGAGTTAACTGAATACAATTGTCAGAGTGTGTGTGTGTGTGTATGCGTGTACGTATTTTTCAACCTTCACAAGCGAACAAGCCGACTTCGAATGATGAATGATATCAGGTAGAGCTGCTTCTCATACAGCCAGGTTGTCCTAACCTGGCTGCGAATCACCCTTTTGGGCACTCGCCTGGGAGGTCATTCCCACCGGTTCCCACCGAGTGTCATGGCTGCCAAGCGCCGAGAACCTGGCCCGAAAACGCATGGGCCGTGCCCGGTTTCTTGATCTTTGGCACATGGCAAAAATGAACATTTGGCATGATCCAGAATCTGGTAGATCCTTGCACGTTTCTTGATCTAGCACTACGCAAGGATCTGGCACCCAAATTCCAATGAACGTAGGGTGACTGTACATCCTCCCCTGCCAAAAGGTGGTTGGAACATGTTGGAAGTGCACGCCCGTCATGAGCTCCCAGCGAGAAAGAACAGCCCACCTGCCAACTTCAAGGCAAACTCACCGGAGGTGATCGCATCCTTGGAACCATCCGAGCATCACAACACTGAGAGGCCTGAAGAGGCCTGAGATGAAGCGTTCTTTTCGTAGTTCTATGGCTATGACCTACATTGATCTTCTACTTCCACAGCGGTAATGAGTTGCCTTCCACTGCTCGCCGGAGGCTTGACATGCATCCGGGGATCTCTCATCTCCTTCACAAAGACCACATCTTTGAGCCTCCGCGACAAGGGGCAGCTGGAGCCTTCGAAACCGTCACCGTGACCGTTGAGCATCTCCGCCACCTCCTCCTAAGACCGTTCGGTCACGAGAACGGACGGCGTGACTTGAGGAGAACTGACTGCACTGGGCAATAAAAGCATTCATGCGGGTGAATTAAACATATAACATATGAGAGGCTTTACGATCCAAATGGGGTTATATTAAACCACATTAAATCAAGATTCCATCCTACATTACAGGGCAAAAGCACTCGCTGTGGTCGATGTTTAGATCGCCCCAGCGGCAAACGACCTGGGGGGATCCTCACACCCAGTTTCATACCCTAGACTCTCCTGTGCCACTGGCTCTCTCATCTGTACCGCACGACACCGCCGCCGGAAACGCCGCCCATAGATCCAAACCTGAGAAGTGCATTCAGCTGGATCAAAAAGATGCGTAGGTGACGTAGTGTGCATGTTCCATCTACCATTGAGATCGTCTTCCAAATGCCAGCTTTATACGCCTCGCAAGGTAGTTTTATGTAAAGTATTCCTTCTTGCCTGCCCTGCTAGCCAAAGGTTCCCAGCTCCCAAGCGGGCTGTCAAATAACTAACTAACATCTTGAGATTGCGTTCCCAGGCGCTGCCCCCACAGGCGCCAGAAGCTGCACGGGTGGCTTGTGCTTGAGTGGTTGCACGCCCAGGCCAGGCCGGCCGCCGCCCAGTGGTGCCGCCGCGTGCACCGGCGCACTTAAGGCGAAACAGGGCGGATGGACCATGGCTCCACTCGGCTGCACTTGAGGTGTCAAGGGAAGAGGACGTGAAAATGCTGGCGGGTGTTCGGTCAGGTCGTGGGTAGGCTTGGAACGTCTGATTAAACCAGATTTGGTTGGCAATGCTGGCATGCTGAGCAAGATTCCAAGTACAGGCATGAAAAGCGCCTCTTCGCCAGGCCTGAACCATCTTGCTGGCATAGACTCATAGACAACCAATATACAGTAAATATATTATATATTTATATATATAATATATATATATACAGTAATTCTATGTAATTCTAGGTAAATCTTGCAACATCTTGTAACCTTCTCTGGCGCTTTGATGGTCGCCGCACCGCGAAAAAGTCAGTGCGCTTCGTTGACCGGAGCCAGAACATCGACCGGGCACTTCCACTGCAGAACACTTTGATTTGTGCTGTTTTGACTTGACCATCATTTATTCAAAAAACACATCAGGTTTTTCCTTCACATCATAACATCTCATAACCACTCTCATAGTGGTGAAGCATCCAAACCATGATATACTGCCATGACGATGGCCGTCATGGCAGCAAAGACTGTTTGGAAAGAATGTTCCTTGATGGCTGTACTAAGTCTGTTGGCTCTATTTTGAGGTCACCACAATGCTCTCTAAAACTGATTGATTCTTGATTCATGTTCTTCTTCTTTCCGAGGCAACAGTCAAACGGTCCACTCGCTCAACACATCAATTGATCAACGGTCCACTCTGACATCAATTGGCAAACGATCAAAAGTATCAATTGATCAAAAGAATATCCTCTCAAAATGAATCACGACCGCCAATTGCTCCAGCCTCGTCCAGCTTGCCCTGGTAGTTTTCATTGCTTGGAGCATTTGGAGTTCATTGAAAAGGGATGAAAAGGGAGTTTGAGTGGGACGTCGTTTGTCATGGCTTCAGGCTTGGGCTATGTTTGAGGAGCAGCTCGGATGAGTGCAATGCTCTAGCCTGTAGCCATCATCTGAAACAAGTGGGGTACAGTACAAGGCGGGGCCGGTTATCTATCGAAGCATCTGCCAATCGCTGATCAGGAGGTGGGACAATTGAACCAGAATCCCACTGACAGAAACCATCAGAAACCCCAATGATTAAGATCGATTCCAGAATGGATCATACCTACAAGTAGCTTTAAACGTGCAAACCTAATAACCTAATGATGATCATCTCATTCAAACACCTGTCCATGCATCCTTTCACGCTCCATTTGACATCACCACCAAACAGGGGGCCTTGAAACACCCAATGACAAACACCAGCAACATCCTCGGACATCACACCATCTCCCTTCCTCACGGGCCCCCGTATTGGGCCCAAAAGACTGCCCACCTGCAGTTGCAGCGCGAACGCCACGCCCGCCGCCGCTTTCGCCGAGCTGGGCTCTAAGCGCATCGCATGGCGGAAGGCCTCCACCGGGCCGCGGATCCCAAAGATCCTGGGCCTTTGAGGACTTCCTGATACGTACAGTGGTTTCAAGAGTAGATGGCACTGGCACCGGCACCGCAAGAGGTCTTTTGGATGGGAATCCATATGAACCACCTAACTGCCCTCAGTAGATGGAGATCATTAAACATCCTCAGAAATCAAACTCCTTTTGGGGAGAGGAGAGTTAGAGCTCAAGATCCAACGAGATCCAAAGACTGAGGAAGTTCGCTGATGAGTTCGGTCCAACGCGCTCGTTATTCTCAAGTCACATACTGAGCCGAAGGGCAGACGGAGCCCCTCTGAAGGGCGGAAGGTCTCCCCCAAGCCATTCCGAACGGCAATTTTGATGAACAAAAGGAGGCCTATCGATCTGGTTTTTCTTGCACAGTCGAATTCTGCGAAAAGCCAACAATAACCCTAGGTCTTAAGGTTAGTAGTCAAACAGCAGCAAACATGTTCCCTCCAAAAAGTAAGCATACATAAGCGTCGTAAGTCATGTCATGCCCTTCTGCGCGTCCTTTCACATCATTTCACCCGTTCCCCCCCCGTTCGTATCGCATGCCTCCAAGGCAGCTGCTGGTTGCCCACACCTGAAGGGTGATGTCTGATCCCTTCAAGCCGGGAAGTGGACGCCACGAATCACGAATCCCCTGTTGAAGCCATGTTCCATAGGTTGATCAACGGCAAGGGTATCAAGAGGTCTCCATCAACAAGTCGCTGTTGATCAATATGATTCAACCATAAAAAGGCAACAAGATAATGAAGTTCCATGTCTTTGGGCAGCCTGCTCTAATCGCAAATGCATGCTTTCAAAGTGAAAGCCCGTTGTCTCGTGCTTCAACCGTAACGATGGGGGAAGTTTGCCACATATGTTGCTTTTTGCTATGCAATCTGGAGCCGCTTAGAGCTCTCTCCTTATGCCGAAACACTGTCTGTAGCGCCGTTTTTCAGGCAAAGGACCAAGGCACTAAGTCAACGAAACTAACATGTGCACAGATGCGACATTCGAAGCGACACCAGCTAATTGGTACCTGATCATAGAAATCACACATTGGCTACAAATCAGTCTCGAGTCTGCCTGCAGTGGGGCAGGAGCAAAAAGAGCTCATGGTCGACAACTCTGTCCAATCCAATGGACGAACTTCCCCCATCTCACCCCCTGCTGGCCCCCTGACCTTCCGCCTGCTTTGTCTGGGGGTCCAGGGATGTCCATCTCTCCACGCCGAGCCCCTCTCGTTGTCGCTAAGATGAGCACTTCAACAATGCATGCCCCAAGTTGGAGTGAACCGCTTCCTCAGCCGAGCCACGCTGCCCCAAATCGTGTTTTATAAATTGTTTTTCAGCAAATTCATGTTAAACCTCAAAATCACGGAAGGCCAGGAATAGTCCTCCGGACCAGAAAGGTGCCAAAGCAAAGAACACACATCACACATCACGTCCTCCGTGTTTGTATCGTTTGTGACCCAGGGAGTCGAACAAACACGGCGAAACACACCGTGTGGCTCCCGATGTCAAGGACGTTGACGCGAGGAAAGGAGACCCACCCTGCTGGCGAACACAAGTGAATTGGGCGAATCTATTGCAATACATGTTTAATACACACTGAAATGTATATGTGTGTATAATGAATTGCTTCTTATGTGTAAATCAAGTAGGTTGTATATAAATATATGCAATATATGTTCTGATTCCAGATTCCAGTAAATACCGATGCTTTGTGCTTGGGTTGAATTCACGAAGCCATGGCGCTGTCTCTTTTCTCCAACGGCCAGACTCGGATCAAACAATATCTTCCAATCCCAACTCACTGCCAAAAGTTGAATAAACACAAACCTATTGATAGAACTCGAAAGACACCATGGCGACCCCAACCTGTCAAGGAAACATTTTTTATAATGCCCATGGCCACCCCTTCTGTTTAAAGTAAAGTTCACCACCATGTCGATCTATCGAAGCGTCTTTCCTGGCGTGGCTTCTCCGATGAAGCACCCGTGCCCGAAATCTCCAGTCTGCTGTCGGGTCGCATCAGGCCGGCTACACAAGCCAATCGCGTGACGTAGCAGTTGCACCGCCTCCAAACGCATGAGGCGGCTGGTGGGGGGTCTAAGAGGCACGTCGTTCGCTCCGCAGCATCGAAATTCTTTCATGCAACATCTGGGGATCATGTGCAAATCCTGGTAGTATCTGGTCGTGGCCGGGAAGGATTGGTCAAAATGAAGTGCTCCTTCCGCCTTCCCTCACAATTTCAAGCACTTCATGTGTGGCATATGCAACACATTGGCACATTGGGGTGGTTTAAGGGGTCAATGTAGACACGTATAGCCTTATAGCATACATTGAGTGTCTGGGAATGGGAATTTGAGTTTCACACTTTCACTTGGTGAGTTCCATCGGCACAATCCCCTGAAAAAAAACTGGCCTCCTCGTAGTTGCGCTTGTGGTAGGCCACCACACCGAGCCTTTGACGAGGCCAACTGCACAAAAAGTTTCACCGCAGCCCACAACCCTCGTCCTGCTTTTTCCGTGCGAAGATGGACGCAACGAGTCTAGTGCACACGACGTGGTGTGTTTGGTCATGACGAATTTCCAGCATCTTCCCTCAAATGTCCACCCCCTGCATGTGGCAACATGCGAGGGCATCAATCCATTGAGTACAGATGTTGTCTTCAAGCTATGTACGTTGTATCAACGAAAGTGGACACTGTGCATCGACTTCTTGCAGCATTGTGGGCCGCCAACTCACCTGGGTCTCTGTACTTGCCAATGCCCGGCATTGGCCCATCATTCCATCCAAGCTTCTCATTGTAGACACGTGGGTCGGTCGGCATCAAGGTTCTGGCATAGTCCTTAGGGGTCAAAAAAACACAAGCTGCTTCCACCAGGTCCGTTCCGATCCATTGCCGTGTGCCATTCGCCATCTGACCACCCCAGAGCTGGTTAGAATTGGTTAGATTATGGCTGTGGGTCATGGCACCAGGATACATTGGTTGATGGTTGACCTGAAAGATCCTTTTCAGGTTGTTCGCTACATGGTGGACCAGGGTTCCATCCAGGATTTGATCAATCCCCATATTACTCTAAGACCCGGTCGTTCTGGCCCTGGGGGCCCTGGGTCGACTACCAAACGCTCCTGCCACCGAAACCCTTGCGAAAGAAGAACTGACATTGGCCCTTCCACTGCTGCAAGCCACCCTGCTTGTTTTAAGCATGTGCATAGTTCTGGGACAGGCTGTGAGTTCTGTGGGCAAACTGGGTCAGCATCTTATAATATGTGTTGTAGATGTTGCATTTTAGTTGGATAAGTATGGGATAACGGATAAGTCAAAATGTCCTGCGTCTCACCGGCCACCCCTCCCTCAGTTGCCATCGCCGATTCACCAGGCATTGCTGCGCCAGCTGCAAGGAGTTGGTTCGCACGTATTCCATGCCTCGAGCAGCGAAATTGGACAAATATATATTATATATAAAGTTACCTAAGTATTGGCCTGGTGCACATATATGTTTTTTGGCTCCTGCTTCTTCGCCTCTGTTGAACAAAAGCTGGTGCAATCCCACCATTCCTGGGATCCTCCTGGATCCGTGCTGTGGATCTTGTGAACGGCTTGAACATCTGATCATCCCGCCAAACACAAACACCACACCGGCCTATGAAGAGCCAGGGCAGCTGCGAGCCTGGAAACCTCACGCTCCGAAGGCTCCGAATGAAGGCTCCGAAAGCGCTGGCACTGGTCACACTGAGCCCTGGTTGCGTGGGCTTCGTCAAAGGCCACATGAATCCCACGATCAAATCAAATCTGCGGCCAAAAGAGACTCCAACCACAGTCTTTTGCAAAAAGAGCATGTATGCGTGTGTATATGTATTACGTATGTATGTAATGTAATGTAATGTAATGTCATGTTAGTATGCGTGTATGTGTGTGTATGTATGTATGTATGTATGTATGTATGTATGTATGTATGTAGGTAGGTAGGTAGGTAGGTAGGTAGGTAGGTAGGTAGGTAGGTA